AGGGGGAGCCAGGAGCCTCCTGGTGACCCAAGCCCGCGGTGCAGGGGTTGGTGCAGGTGGGCAGAAGGCTCACTGACTGCCCGGGAGAGCAGAGGGGGTGGCGCTTCTCTGCTTCTCTGAAAGCTGCAGCTCACTGGGCAGCCTGGGGCAATGGGGGAGAGCAGACTCCGGGCTCAGGAGAACTGGCGTCCATGCCTTGGCTCTTGGCGCGTGCCCTGGGATATGTCCCCTTCTATTCCTGCACCTCAGTTACCTCCGTCTGATCAGTGGGGATCATGAGACTCACGTCCATGGCTGTTGTGTAGATGCAGAGATGGTCCGTTACCTGCCTAGTGCCTCACCTGACTCAGAGCAGGTGCTCATCCTGCTGAGATGGATGGAGCATTGTGTAGGGAGCCAGGAGCCACGGGCTCTTGCCCCGTCCCTGCCACAGACTGAGTGACCCTGGAGATCTTTTGTGCTGTCTGGGCCTCAGTTTCCCTACCCTATGGTGAGGGGGTTGGGGCTGGAGGACCTGTGAGGCCCCACCCAGTTCTCATGCACCCCGGCTCACACCTGGGCAAGGGAGGCACCAGCTCAGCGTGGGGGAGCCTGGCATCTGGACAGAAGGTGGGATAGAACGGGGCCTCAGGCAGTTCCTTAGGTTCTCTGAGCTTCAGGTAGGTCCTCCGTAAGTGGGGGTGTTCTCAGCACTGCAAGGTGGATGCAAGGACTAACTGTGGCAGTATTCTCAAAGCTGTCACCTGGCATCCTTGGCACACAGTGTGGACTCAATACTTGACAGTCATCGTTGCTGTGTTTGCTCTAGGATAGTATTGTGGTTTGTCGGTTCTTGCAGCGTTCCTGGTGGAATATGGGCTTCTAGACTCTGCAGGGGTTGGCTAATGTTTCTAGTAAAGAGCAGATGGCTATTTTAGGCCTGTGGGCCATACGGTCTCTGTCGCACCTCTTCAACTCTGCCCTTGTCACCTGAAAGCAGACATACATAGTCCATAATGGAAAAGTGGAGTTGTTGTGTTACAACTTCATTTACAAAACCTGGTGGTGGCCCGACTTGGCCCACAGACCATAGTTTACTGACCCCTGTGCTAGATGTCTGGGTCTGCACGGCAAGGTTTGAAGAATCTGCTAAGGTTTGTTTTATTTTGATTTCCAGCAACCAAACACGTTTACACTCATAACCAAATTGAATTTTCACAAATACCGTACCATTTCACAGAAGAATACACTGCAGCCCCTGATGGAGGCGATGGAGGGGAGATGGAAGTGGGTGTCTTAGTCACTCTGACCCCGGGGATGTCCCCTCTTCTCCCTGGACCTCGATTTTTGCTCTGTGTAAGGTGGGGAGTGGCTGCGTCACCCCGTTGGCTCCTTTCTGTTCCGATAGGGCAGTCAGATCAGCTCTAGTGGCCCCTAATTCTTAAATGCTGCTCTGAGGAAAATGAGACATTAGAGTACAGGGAAAGCTGCTTTAATTAAATTGCTGGGAAATTAGAAGGACCGAGTGATTGACAGCAAAGGGTGATGCAGAGGCCAGGGCGCTCTCTGTGGATTAATTAAGAGGCTGCTGGGTCCCCTGGACACAGGAGGCCTCACCCCCAGGAACATTTAGCAGACCCATCGGTTGGGGGAGGGGGGTCCTTGCTCCGCACAGTGGCCACACCCCCTCTGAGCCTCTTTCCTCTCCCCCACTGCATGCCCCACCCACAGATGATGAATGTTCCCAGGATGGGCCACTCTTAATTAAGTTGGATGATCTTCCTGGAGCTTGCAAAAGCAATTAATGTTTCTGCCTCAGCCAGGGGCGGGGGTTCAGCTGGCTCAGCTGCTGCTGCTCCTGGAGAGACTGAGAAAGGTCCTGAAATCCAGGCTCTGTGGTGCCCATCCTGAGCTCCGTTGGTCTGACACCGGCCTGCAGCGGAGCCACTCCACACGCGGCTCCCATCAGAATGGAATGTGAACTTTGACCCAGGCTTTGGGACTCCAGTAGGACCAGGAGGAGTGTTCCCCCCGTGGCCCCGTGTCTTCCCACCCTCCGAGGCCTTTCTCCCCCTGGCAGCCTTCCTGACTCTGGTCCCACGATGGCACCTTGTCTGCCAGAGCCAACGTCCCACGGAGCTCCTTGCTGTTGTCCTGTCCTGCATGTGCCCTGATTGCTTCGTGCAGATGACATGCACACAGCCTCCCCAGGGTGTGGATGAAACGGTCCCACCTATCCTTCCCCCATGCAGTTGAACCCACTCCAGCTTCTTTTTTAATGTGCCCAGTGCTTACTGAGGGCACCTTCTGTCCTGAGACTGGGGCGTGTAGACGTGGACATGACTCCACGCAAGTTGCACCTAATCCCGGTCCGGTAAGGCAGGAGGTCACTGGGCAGTGACAATGCCAAGTGATACACAGAGGGGTTCCCAAGGGCTGTGGGGGCACCAAGGAGAGATCCCCAAGCCGGCCTGGAGAGTCAGGGTGCTGAGCAGTCCTCCCGCTTGTCCAGGCTTTGTCAGGTGAAGGACATGGCATGTCCCCAGGCCTAGAGGCCAGTGAGAGCATGGCCCGGGGGACACAGGGAAGAAACGAATCAGCATGTGCTGAAGACACAGGGAAGAAGTCACACACGATGGGGAGGGCAGGTAGAGAAGGATGAAAAGGACACGGGGAGCCTAGTGACACGGTGCTTGGTGATGGCGCTGACGCACGTTCCGGCTTGGAGCACGCGCTTCCTCTCACTGTGGGCGGCAGCTGGGCGTTTGTGAGCAGGGCGGGTCCTCAGACCCCACGGCGAGTGGCCTGCCTGCGGCCCCCCTNTAATAATTTCCACCAGAAGAGCTCTCTGGCTCCTGGTGAATTCCGTCAGCCACATTGAAAGTTCCTTCCAGTCTGTGACTTTGTGGCGAGCCCACCCCAGAGGTGCCCTTTCCATTTTTCTCTCCATTAAACACGACGCCTCCAGCTGACACAGCCCTCCCTGCTCACGGGGAATCGTACAATCGTGGAGCAGAGCGTGACCCCTCGAAGGCAGCTGGGCCATTCCTGGAGATAGTGTGGAGTCGTGACGTGTCACAGGTCAGGCAGGGAGGAGGAACCCCCCCATGCCCCGACTCCAGACCCCAGCTGGGAGGGGTCCGAAGCACCATGCAGAGCAGCTGCCTGGGCAGAGCTGCCCGCCCCGTCTCCCCTGGGAGTCGCTGCTCCTTCTGCCCTCTCTGCCTGGAGCCTCGGCCCCACTCCTCCTCCAGGGGCCTTCGCTGACCACCCTGCACCGCCGCCCGCTCCATGGGGACATCCCAGCTCTTCACAGTCCAGTGCCCTCTGCTTGTGCCTGTCCCAGCAGACTCTGGTTATCCACTGTGCACCTGTCATGGCCTCTGGCACCTAGTGGACCATTAGTCAGCAAACATTGAGTGTTTGCTGTGTGCCAGGCATTCAGCTTGGCTCTGGGAAAAGAGCTGTGCCAAGACAGCGAGGTTCTTGCCCTCTTGGAGCTGACTTCGCTGGGATCTGATGAAATGACAAAGGTTTGGTTGGATGGATGAGTAACGGACATTCCACAGTGCCTTTCATGTAGGAAAAAGCATTGGTAAATGATTGAAGGCATGGGAAGGGCAGTGATGTCATTAAGCTCTCGCTTTGCATACAGATCGCCCTTCAATGCTCCCAGCAATCTTCTGAAGTGTGCGTTGTGGCCCCTATTTTACAGATGAGAAAACTGAGGGTTGTCGGGGAAGGTCTGGCCTAAGCCTCCCAGCTAATAGCGGTGGAGCCGCCGTTCGAACTCTGCTTCGTGCTAGACAAAACATGTGTTCTTTACACTTTGCGTTCGGGCTCACCCTGGGAAGTCTGGCTCTCTCTGACATCCTCCAAACATCACAGGGACTCTTGCTGCTGAGTGGAAGAGTTCCAGTCCCTCTCACTTTCCTCCCAGCTCCTGCTCGGAGCCACAGAGAAAGGCCTGGCTGTAGAGTTGAGCAGGTCCTTTCTGCTGACAGATGCCCTGTCCAGACAGCCCTGTGTCAGGGAGTGTCCATCAGCAGGCCACCTCCCCAGGGGGTTAAGAAATGGGTGTTGATGTACAGCAACCTGGGGAGAGTCAGCCCTGCAGGGCGTCTGCTCCTTCCCAGTGTGATATTGATCTTCATACAGAGAGGTGAGCTCCCACACTGTGTGGGAAGGCAGATAACGCAGGACAAACCTAGTCCCTTGCTCACCGCCCAATGGACCAGCTCTGAACTTCAGGGGCCCCCACCTAACCGCCAGCACGGTTGCACTAGATAACTTCTGTGATGCCTTCCAACCCCCACACTGGGAGGCAGCCTGGCATCAAGATAAGAACTTGGACTTTGAATTTGACCTTGGGTTCCACCATTAGCCACAGCTGGGCCCCTTGGCCGTGTTGCTTTGCAGCACCGAGCGTCACTCGCTGCAGCTGTAAGCTGGGAGTGAGGGCGAGCACAGAGCATTGTGGAGAGGATTCTGTGCGGTAGGGACGAGCTCTGGGAATGTCCTAGGTGCTCCATAGTCAGTCGTGGGGATTCTGTTGGCGTGGCTGGACCCGGAAGCAGCACCCGTGTGAACTTTCTCTCGCCCTCCTACAGGTCACCGATGAGGAGCCCAGCTCCAACCACACGGTCATGATTCAGGAAACCCTCCAGCAGGCGTCCGTGGAGCTGGCCGAGCAGCACCACCTGGTCGTGTCCTCCGATGACGTGGAGGGCATCGAGACGGTGACCGTCTACACGCAGGGCGGGGAGGCCTCGGAGTTCATCGTCTACGTGCAGGAGGCCATGCAGCCCATGGAGGAGCAGGCCGTGGCGCAGCCCGCTCAGGAGCTGTAGAGGACGTGCCCTGTCGGACAGAGCCACGGGGCGGGACCACCAGGCTCTGCAGGGCACCCAGGGCGCCCGGGGCAGGGAGGCTGCAGAACGGTGCTCTCTGGGATGCTCTCCTCTGCACTCACTGCCCCGGCCACCAGCGGGGGCTCGCCTTGTCCGGGTGGGCAAGGCAGTTGGTATCACCAGCAATACGGGACCCGCGTCCCTAGCACAGGACACATGCACACCCTCCCCCACATCACCTGCTTCTGGAAAGACTTTCGCATCAATTCTCCAAACATGGCCCCCACCACACTGCTCCTTTACTTTTAACATTCAGAGACCGCCCCCTCCCCCCTCGCCCCAGTCGCTGTCAGCATCTTCCCTGAGTCACATCCCCAACTCCTTGACCCCAATTGAGGTGCCAAATCTTCACCCGGGACTGCTGTGCAGCCTGGTGAAAGGGAGAAAGCCATCACAGAGGAAGTGGCCTTACGGGGTACGAATCACCTCCTGGGGGACACAGGGGAGGGGGCCTGACTTCATCTCCAAAGTTCTACCTTCCTCGGGTATCAAGGGCGCTTCTTATCACACGAAGTAACCACAGTGTGATGACTCTGCCACTCCCATCACAGGTGGGGCCTCAGCTTACAGTCTTGGCATTCTTTTGCTTTTTTAAAAAAATGCACTTTTTTACTATTCACCTCTCATTCTAAGGATGTGAGGTGGATAGAATAAATCAGTACTTGCCTGAGTACTTTGGCTCCTCTGTTAGTTTGGAGGGTTTACATTTCTCCTTCCTGAGTCGAGATCTCGGATTTGGGTCCTACCCAGAACGACTCCATCTGAGACCCAAGGTCCACAGAGTACTAACTATGATGCTCTTTCTCCCGCTAAAGCATTTGGATTTGCTGTCGGGCCCACTGCTTGAGATTAGCTATCTTACCTTTCATTTCCTGTGCCAGCATTTGATTTGCTGCCAGCCGAGACATGCCTTGTACTGACAATCAGAAGCCTTCATCACACACTGTTGTCTGACTAAGGTTCAGTCAGGTCTCATGGTAAATCCCACACCGTTTTGAGCCCCTGGCCTGTGCAGAGCATTGTGGGGGCATTGAGACAAGTTTTGCTGCACCTGGTCCAGCCCTGGGATCGCTTGACATCATCACCCACCATCTGACTCACTGAGGTCAAGATCTGTTTCTTCTGAGGACCCTTTTTGCAAATGAAATCCTATGCAGAGGTATCAGCAGGTGTGCAAACACATGCGGTGGCAGCTGCTCCTGCGGAGGGCGGGGTCCGGAGCCCCGTACACTTGACCCTCGCTGGTATGTCCTGTCCCCGCCTCCCAGCAGGGCCTGAGGGCTGTTCTAATACAAGGAGGAAAGTAACGGCTGGTCCTAATCCAGGAAGAAAAGACCCTTCCCACTTGGGATGAGTTGGGGAGTGCTTCATGGTGGAGGCGGCCTGTGATCCGGGCTTTGTAAACTGGATAGGCCTGGCACTTGCAGGGGTTGGGGTCGGGAAGAGGGAAGGGGATTCCGAAGAAGAGTGACAGTGGAGCTGACCCCTGGGTGTGGGGCAGCGTAGCGATGGGCCGTGCGCCACGAGCATTCCATTGGCTAGTGGGTAGCTCTCAGGAGAAAGATACAAGGATCAACCAGAAGCCAGAATCTAGAACAGCAGTTCTCAACCTGACCCCTTTGGGGGTCAAACGACCCTTTCGCAGGGGTCGCGAAGACCATCGGAAAACAAAAAGGTATTTACATTACGATTCATAACAGTAGCAAAATTGCAGTTATAGAGTAGCCACGAAAATAATTTTATGGTTGGGGGTCACCACAACATGAGGAACTGTATTAAGGGGTCGCAGCATTAGGAAGGTTGAGAACCGCTGCTCTAGAAGAACAGAGGTGACAGATGATGGCTATTGGCTGTGTTCAGTAAACCATGTGGAATTGGTGGCCACTTGATAGACGCAGGGTGTGAGGGGCAGAGCAGTGTTCCAGAAAGGTGACCTTTTCCACGCATCGGGGTCGGCTGTGCTGAGACGGCGGAGCAGCAGAGAACTTGGGCTCAAACCCAGCTCTGTCTCTTCTTACCTGAGTCACTTTGGCAATTACTATGCCTGTCTGGGTTTACTCATCTCTGAGATGGGTCTGCTGATAAAAAAAGCAAAGCCCGTGAAGCCATTAGCAGAGTACCTGGGCCACATTCTATAAATATCAGTTATTGTTTGTATCCCTAGGCTTCGGGGATACAAACATGAATATCCCTCCAACAGGTCACAATCTAGTGGGAGAGACGGGACGTGAACACACAGTAGGAAAGGACGTGTTGAATGTATTCAATGCCGTGAGTGACGCTGGGTGGTAGGAGCCCGCCCCGTGCAGGTCCCCTGACCCTGGGCCTTGGGCCAGAACTGATGGGGCCACGTGACACTGAGGAACAGGTACCCACCCAGCAGTTCTTGACTGTGCACAACTGTCCAGATAGCTCAGAGTCTGGGCACTTCAGGGCTTGGTCAGTCCTGCATGCTGATCACCTCAAAAGCTGGACCTGATTATTGGAGATGCACTTCCAACATGGGCCACTTCTTTGCATCATGAGTGACCCTGAAATCAGGAAAAGATCTTGTTCTTCTAATTTATAAAGCCCCCTTGAAGCGTGATAACAGCCCTGGGCTGGTGTTCAGCGTGGATGTGCTGGGTTTCTACTGAGTCGTCTGAAATCCTTCTGCCCTTTTAAAAGTTGACAAAGATGTGAAGGAGAAGGGGCTTTATATGTTGCCAGAGTAGGTCACAGGGCCTGAGGCTTGGGAGGTGGGATGGGCTTCGGTTTGAGTCCTGATTTCACATTTATGATTCGTTGTGAATCTTTTATGAATATCAGTTTCATCTACAAAGTGGGGTAAATAATTTCACCCCATTCACGTAGTCTGTTTTAAGTATTAACGATGATAGCCTATGTCAAAGCACTCAGCATGCTGCATTGCACATAGTAGGACCACACTACATATTTCTTTTCCTTCCTGTGGTTCACAGTGGGTTCCTAGTAGAGTCCCGTGACAAACGGCAGCTTGAACAGGGTTGTGTCATTCGCTCACCTGTGAGCAGAGTGAGGTTCATGTGGCATCCAGTGTTGCCTGTCCCTTCAACTGCATTGTCTTCAGCTGTCTTCCCTCTTCCGGGCCCATCACAGTGCTTAATTTGCATTCACTTATTGATTCAGCCAAACATAATGAACTACCTCCAGAGGCCAGGCACTGGGCTATGAACTGGAAATACAACTTATCAATGACACCTGGTCCCGGGCCTCAAAAGAGTCAGCACCGGGGCCCAGGTGTAGAGGATTGAACAGGCGAAGGGAAGGCCGGATGGGAATGGCTGCCGGAGCGGAGCGGGCACACTCGCACTTCTCAGACACACACGAGGCATGCTGCCACCTCGGGTCCAGGCAGAGAAGGGGCAGCATGACACGAGGCTTCAGCTACCATGGCCTGCCCAGGAAGTGGCAAGTGTTGACCTGGAGAAGGACTATACCTGCCAAGAAGGTTTCTTGGTTAATGGCCCAAATTCATGGTCAGGCGAGCAGCCACAGTTCACAAAGGACTCTCATGCACACTGCATATCAGGAAAAAGCCTCAGCCTGAGCTGCCAAGCCTGCACTGAGTTCCTCCTGGCTGAGCCGAACCTCATAAAGGAGTTCCTGGAATCATATTTTGACCAATGGTCTGAGACTTGCCCCAGCCCATCAGAGCTGCACAGCTGTAGCCTCGTTTATATCTTTACTGACCAAGGTCCCACACTGCGTCCCAGGCCCCGTACGAGGCTCTTGCATCTTCCCATCCACCTGTGTCGTACGATTGAACCGCTGGCCCTTCCGGAGTGCTGACTGTGTGCCAGGGGTACGGATGTTCTCGTTTCATGCTCACAGCAACCCAGCAAGTTAGGTGCCGTCACTAGAGTTTCATCGATGGAGATTAGCACAGAGAGGTTAAGAGACTTGCTCAAGGTCACCCAGGAAGTAGTAGAGTTAGAATTTGAGCCCCTGAAAGATCTGCACCCGTAACCAAAGCGCCCTCCGCCAACCCTTCTCACCCTTTTATACCTGAGAAAACAGGCTCGGTGGGTAACGAGCATTGGGTGACGCTTGAGGCCAGAGAGTGCTGTCTGCGACGTGAATCCCATATGCAGGTCCCTCCACTGTGCCGCCTCTCCTCTTCCAGCCCTGACATCAGACAGGCAGAGCAAGGGCAGGGTGTGGGGGGCCGGTGCCAATTTCCACTACATGGAGCGAAAACTTAGGAACTGTGTGGCCGCGAGGCAAAAGCAAGTGTGAACAGGAGCCTGGGGAAGACAGGAGACCCAGGGCCAGCCCAAGGTCCAAGATGGAGTCCAGGTCCACGTGGGAGATGGAGACCAGCCTCGTGGGGCTGGGGAGGACGCCAAGCGCAGCGCTCACTGGCCGGTCCTTGCAGGCCTCAGGCGTGTCCCTCCAGTTTTATGTGGGCAGCCCGAATGCCAGCTTTGCTACCACATTGACGCACCTCCTAGGCTGCCATCTATTCAGGAAGGGGGAGAAGGCCAGGCTTTGGATAAGGAGGAGCAGAACCCAGGGAAGACAGACCCGAGCCTGACTCCACCTCTTGGCCCTTGTGTAACTGGAAAGTTAAGTCACCTCACCATGGCACTAACAGGGACGCCGAGAGGATGCGGCTGCCAGGTATAAACAGCTCACTGCGTCGAGGCCTCTGCAACTGGTCCTTAGGTCAGCCGTTTTCACTCATTGTCTATATGACGATACCTTGTGAGTTGACAAAATAGCCCCAGAGGTAGTGAGAGTCACCAAGATGACGCCTGTGAGATGCTTGGCACAGCGTTGGGGGGCTCAGGCCCCTGGGGATAGTCTCAGGAAGGAGGCCGTGACCCTCCACATGGCCACGCAGAGCCAGTCCATGCGGCCTTAGTCGCTCCTGAGTGTTGGCATTTTTGAGGAGACAGTGACTCATTTTATAACCTGTATCTACAGGGCCAATTTAGCAAATTAATTTTTCTTGTCGTAAGTATTTAAAATTTATTAGTGGTTTTCACTGATGGTTTTCCCCTTATTCTTTGGTTCCATTTTTCAGGGCTGGAGAAGACTGTGGGCTTACAGATCCATCTCCCCGTCCCACTGCTTTTAAAATTTCAAAGTGAACTGTCCGTCCTGACCTTGGATGAAATCCAGATTCACATCAATCTCCTCCCAGTGGTAATGGTTTTAAGCCATAGCAGGAAGTAGTTGGGAATCAATTAAGTGGACTAATACTTTACTGGGGGGGGGGGAAGCGTGCTGAAGGGGATTTAATTTACCATGCATCACAAAATTTCCCAAGNTTCTGGTGCCATTTGGAAGACCAGTGAAGGCATCCCAACGGGGAAGTGCCCCTTCCCTCCTCCCCACTGCACCCTTCCCCTAACTCTGCACTGTCCCCTTCTTCACTTCCCTTTAGCCTGTCTTGTCACTTCATTTCCCCCAATTATTAAAGGACTCTAGTATTTAAACATTTAGGAAAACAGAAAAAGTAGGAAGAAGGGGGAAAGAAAAGATGGCGTCACGCACCAGGTAATGCTGATCCCCTCCTTCCAGTGCGGTTGGCTCAGAACTCCATCCATTCACCAGGTTGCTGCTAGATACGCCCCTCTGCCGGCCGCATCACAGGGGCTGGAAATAAAGTGGCGAAAAACGGTCCAGGCCCCTGCCTTCAGGAGCCCACAGGGACACACAGATCA